TGTTTCTCTGTGTCATGATAGTTCTCAATTGAGCAGTGGCGGCCAGCCTAAGGGCCAGTGTGCAATAGCGCCCGCCGCCGCATGGCTCCCCGTGCGCCGGGAGCCCTCTCTCTGGGGGCCGACGAGGCAGGAAGCTAGCCAGCCGGAAGACCGGCGCTCCCCACCCGTGGCTCCCCGTGCGCCAGAGGCCCTCCCTCACAGAATTTTGGCTCTTGTGGTTTGATGTTTTTCTTACTTTTCTTATACATCTGCGGCACCTAGTTAGGGGGATCTGCTCACCCTGGACAGAGTTAGAGAAGTCTGACAATGTGACAAGATACAGTATACAGAAATCACAAGAGATGAGGACAACAGAACTAGCAATAGCATGAAGCTATTCCCATTTCAAAAATGAAAGAAAAAAATCAAGGAGAGGCAGGGCTAAGTCAAACCAGGGGAACAGTAACATTAGGAGAGGACTTCCTGGAGGGAGCTATGACCTTCTGCCTTGCAATGTCACTGATCAAAGAGCAGCCAAGGGAATTAGTTCATCAGTCTTTCTGTTGTACTCCTATTTTCCAGTCTCTTGTCAGTGCTTTTCTTTGGCCAGACCCAATTGGAAATTGGTTAATCCTGTTGATAAAAGTTAAGATCTTGAGACCAGAGCAAGTGACCGGTGAGAGGTCTCCCAGTCACCGTTGCATCAGGCTTACTTCTGCCATGCTCCACGCCTGCACAGGACAGAGCCAGACAAAAAGCTTGCACCTAGAGGAGATGGTAACTGCTTCTGTAGCTTGTGTGGTTACCTGTGGTGACCCTATTTCCATTTCCTCTCTGAGTCTAAGGTCTCTCTCTGGTCTCTCTCCCTCTCTCTCCCTCTCTCCTTCCCTCCCTCTCTTTCTCGTTCTTTCAGAAGAGAGACAGAGACAGAGACAGAGAGATAGAGAATACTTTTACATTTCTGTCTCCATTAGTATTACCTTGTTTGCTCGAATTTTTAAGCCTGGAATCTAATCTCAGAAGCTGTTAAAAGTGGATCTCAGGTTCTTGAGACAAAAGCTCAACTCCTAGATTATGGGTGCCCATTTTTTCCTTCTCAAATCTTGCATCTGCTCAGCTTTTGACTGTTTTATTGGAGTAAAGAACACAAACTCTGAGGTCACATAAGCCTAGGCTCCAATCTAGGCTTCTCTAATCACCAGCTGGGTGACGTAAAATTTTTAGCTTCAGTTTTCTCAGTTATGAAAGAAGGATAATAACAGGAACTGTTCCATAGGGTATTACGAGAATAAATGGAACATATTGCTCCAAATGGAATCTGTAATTATTATTCACTATTCCATTTTCATGCTGTGGACCTGACAATAAAACCTCACTACTGAACTGTAACACTCATCATTCCCTAGGACAGTGACAATTGGCTGCTTCTCAGTTATGGTTCCTTCATACCAACACCTCATGCAGCTTCATTCTCTAGGACCCCCTGTGAGGGTCAGCCACCAAGTCACTGGCCACCCAAGGGTACAGGCAAGTATTCTCATCTCTCTCTGGCTCATTCCAAAAATTGTCCCTAATGTGAACAAAGGGTTTTTTTTTTTTTTTGTGGGGGGGGGTGTTTGCATTTATGGAACAATTTTATGTGAACTCTTCATTTTTTTTTTTTTTTTTTTGATTTTTCTCCAGTACCGGGAACCGAACTCACAACCTTGCGCTTGCCAGGCAGGCGCTTTTGCCACTGAGCTAAATCCCCAGCCCCAGAACTCTTCATTTTAAAGTCACAAGAATGCAACATTACACACCTTTTATCTCTGAAAGCAAACAAGCAAACAAAAAGGTATTTATATTAATGCTAATGTTTTCCTATGGGTCTATGGCCCTGGGTGGGGACAAAATGTATCCCCAGGCTGGGACAACAGGATCTCTTGATACCAAAAATACCAAATATAAATACCAAAAATAAATTCAATGACAAAATAATCAGTTTTAAGTCTCACAAGAGTTGCAAGCTGTGTTCCCAGGCTTTATTGATAGGTCTGAGCACATGGCTGGGATTTCAAGTAAAAAGTGTATAGGGGTTTATACATCATTATATTTTAAATTTTTAAAAAATGTACTTATGTTAGCTTCTTGACTAAACATGATTTTTAAAAATTGTGACACTAAAGGCATTTCAGTATAACACTTTTCCAAACTTCTTATTTGGAAACAATTTTAGATTTACAGACAAGCTGCAAAGATAGTACAAAGAATTCTTGTATACTACTCTGCCTAATATTATCTTCTCCTAATATTACCATTTTGTACCCAAGTGTGAAACATTTATCAAACCTAAGAAATCAACATTGGTACAGCATTAGTAAGCATGCCACGGACCTTGTTTAAATACCCTGCTTTTCATTGATGTCCCCTTTTCTGCTCCAGGACTCAGCGCACACAGTCATCCTGACTGCTTTGTCTCCTTCAATCTGTGATGATTTCTCAGGCCTTCCCTGTTTTTCATATCCTTGGCCCTTTTGAAATTGCTAGTAAGACATTTTTTAGAAAATCTTTCAGTTTGGATCTATCTGATATTTTCTCATGATTCAATTGGGATTACAAATTTTTTAAGAATACCACAGAGATGAAGATCTCTTCTCATTGCATCTCATTAGGGATGCATTATAGCAATATGTACTAATTAACTCATTACTAATGATGATAACCTTATCACTTGGTAAAGGCAATACCTATCAGGTTTCTCTACTGCAAAATTATTTCTTTCCTTTTCATATTCTATTCATTAGAAGCAAGTTAATAAATTCAGTTAACACTCAAGGATTAGTGAAACAAATTTCACCTTCTGGAGGGAGGAACAGCCAAGAATATGGAGACACGTGTTAAAATCACCAAATCACTGAATATATATTTTGGGGAATATACTTTGAGCTTATGCAAATATTCCTTCTTGTTAAAGTCCCACCCACTAATTTTAGCATTCATTCTTAAATCTTGTCAACAATAATTCTTCATGAAGGTGTTCAGAGGGTGGTACTCTATTGCCCTCATTCTTTCTACATTTATTATTTAGAATTTTAGAGTTTTTCTGTGAGAAAGAATCTTCCCATCTCCCCCGCTGATTTATTTATTCAACCATTATTTATATCAGTAGAGATTAATGGTTATTTTTTCTTTGGGTTATAATCCAATACTGTTGTTTATTTTCATGTGCCAAGTTTGGTCAATGAAATCTTTTTTTTTTTTTTATTTTTTGAAATCTCTTTAAGGATTTATATCATCTATCCATTGATCAATAATCCATATCAATTTATACTGATCTTTTTTACTTTGTTCTAGCATCACAGGCTTCTTCTAGCATTTTGTCCTCTTGCTGATTTGTAACTCATTTCTCTGCCGCTGAAAAACATGACTTCCATGAAATGCAATTTATTTGCTTTTGTGTTCAATCCTAGGATACCCAGACAGTGGTTTAGATCTAAAATGTCCCCCCAAATGTCTCACATTGGCAGGAGGGGCTTGGCTGGGAGGGATGAGTGACTAGGAGTGTGACTTGGAAGGATGTATTTGCCTATGCTCCTCCTTTCTCTCTCTGCCTCCTGGCTCCCGTGATGTGAGAAGCTTTTCCTCTGCTGTCCCCTCTGCCATACTACTTCTGCCTTAAAGCAGGCTAACCACGGACTGAAACCATGAGTAAAAATTAACCTCTTCTCCTTTGTGTTGCAAGTGCCAGATATTTTGTCCCAACAATGCTTAACTACACCTTTCTGTGAAACCTAAGTAGAATACAAGGGTTGTGTGCAGTTCTTTTTCTCATTAGTCTTAGAGTTTCCAATAAAAACACTGTTTCCAAAATTACCTAAATCAGCTCCTTACCTGTTCCCACGCAGTGGTGGTATAGTTAGATTCATTGTCATAGACTGCATTCTGTCTTGAGATTTCTCATCGGCTGATTTATTTTTTTAAATTTTCCTACAGTGAAGTTTACTCTTTGCAGTATAATAGTTCAGTCAGTTTCCCCATGTTTCTGTTATGTGCTCACCAACACAGTACCAGACAGAATGGTTCCACCACTTTAAAATTCCCTGTGCAGCCCCTTTAGAATGAGCTCCTTCCCTTGCCGCAACACCTTCTAATAACGTTTTCAAGTAATAAAGAATATTCGGAATCAAAACTTCTATTTTTTATATTTTAAAAATGTATTAAAGTAATGTATACACATTTTTTGGTTAATGGTCCAAAACTGTGTAATATGAAAAACAAATCCTCCTCCACTGTGTGCATGAACATGAAAAGCTTCTTTCGGTGGCTCTTTGATCTCCACTGGTACAGGCTTGGTTGGCCCAGTCTTGGCCTTTAACTCTGGAAGTCCCTTCTAGTAGACAAAGAATCCAGGCCCTTTTCCTGGGGTAACCAGTACTGACCCCTCCATTTCATGTCTGAGAAAGTTGAGAGCCAGAGAGTAAGGTCATACTGTTTCTTATAGCAAAGCTTGAGACTCAGAACTCAGACTCAGGATGTCATAGAGATGGTTTTTTCCACTTCCTGGTGTTCAAGAGCATGTGCTTAGAATCAACCTGCATCTCAAATGTGGGATAACATCTAAAGTACTCACAAGGTGATAATGACGCTGCTGCAGCTACCCTGTCCAAATCTTGTACGGCCTGTTTGACTTAGCTGTGCTCTACCTTGCCCTAATCTTGTTTATCTTTGAAGACAGGATTCCTATAGGCCAAAAGTCCCTCTATTGATGGACTAGCCCAAACTGGCTGTCCCTAAGATGGCTATCAAAGTGGCCACCAGACAAGTTATCTTCATTGTAATTCCATCTGCATGGCAAATGACACATCAGTAAGTGCCACAACAGTTGAGAATTGCTATTGTGAAGACTGAAAAGAAAGAAAAAAGGAGCAGAAAGAGTTGGTATCTGAGTTTCCAGAAAATCTCTGCTCATTCCCAGAAAAACCACGAATATCCCCTTTATTAGCCTCATTATCCCTTCTCCTCACTTATTTTACCTTACAATTTCCTAATCCACAAGGGGTTGAGAAATTCATTTGTTAGTTTTATCTCCCTCTTCTACTCTTAGCCAAGAATAAGTCTCCTACTGTTGCTTGGTCTTGTTGCTGATTCCACAATTCTGAGAGAAAAATGGCCCAGTTTGGGGTTGAAAATTGGTAACAGATTTGGTATCCCTAATGAGACATGGCCTGATCAGCTACATTACCCAGTTGAGAACAATTTCTTCTGAATAAGAAAACTATCAGTAGGCAGTAAGGAACATTATGCGGGTAGTGGTGGTGGTGATTTTTTTATTTGTTTCTGGTATCTGCTACAAATAAGGCAAGGATATTTGCCTGAAGATGTGGACCATTGGGACATCTGACCCCTGGGGAAAGTCACTTCTGGGAGGTTGAATTTTATCTCCAATCAGAGATAAGGCCCCTCAACCTTGGGAGTCTTGCTTCTGGGAGGTTGAGATATATCTCCATTGTGAGAGTGTCACCAGCTAGTGAGGATCTTTTTAATGGAAATTAAAACTAAAACAACAGTATGAATTTATAGACAATGCTTTAATTGAAAGGTAAAGAAAAAATGGCCAGAAACTTTAGTTTAAGGAACTGCCCTTTTACCAAGGAAAGTAAGAGAAACTAGAGAAAGACTCCATCTTGAGTACACACTGATGAAGAGGATCAGACTGGCTAACTCAAAACAGCATGAGGCTAGCCAGCATTCAAGGGTTAGCTGAGGTGGGCCAGGGTCCAGTTGATAAAGACTGTATATCAGTTTTGGTTTCCACAGAGGAATCTTTATGACTTGAGGGGTAAGTTCGTTTCCATGGGATAATGATTTCTTCTTAGGAAGGTGATCTCATCATGGGGTAGTCTGTGAGGCCCTGTTTTTCTTGGGACTCAGGTGACTACAAGTTTAGGACAATGACTGAAGACTTCTGGGCATTGCTCAGAGGGGTGTTGTCAGTAACTGGACATCGTAAAAGCTGGAAGTTGGATGTCCCTATAAGTCCCAAGAGTTCTTTAGTTACTCTTATCTTGGTGTCTTTAATCTTGAAGGGAGATGAAATAGGTTAGATAAATTTAAGGCTAATAAGCTATGTTTTACTGTGATTAACATAACTATATCTAAGCTGGGCGTGGTGGTGCATGCCTGTAATCCCAGCACTCGGGAGGCTGAGGCAGGAGGATCATTGTGAGTTCGAGACCAGCCTAGGCTACAAGGTGAGCTCAAGGCCAGCCTGAACTGCACAGCGAGCCTGTATCAAAAAGATTGAAAAAAAAAAAAACAAAAACATAACTATATCTAATAATTTTTAAGGTAACTTTAAGGTAATAATGCAGGTCAAGCTGCATTTTATAGCCTTTATTTTAGGGTTTCTTACACTTTGAGAATATTTGGTCTGGCTCTGATCTGTTCAGGAAGAGCACTCTGGTTTAATGGTTGAATGTGTTCTTTTCTCTATTAGTCTGGTTTTGTGTTTGTGATAAATATTAAGAGATTAATTTGATGGCTGCAGCAACAGTTCTATTAGAAATTTATTTCACTGACTCTTGCTGTAGACAAGGCTTTCACAAAATGAATCCTGAAAACAGCATTTGGCAAAACTTAACTGGGGAGGCATCAGAAATCTCAAGGGAGGCTTTCCTAAGTTGGATAGATGTAGAAAATGCTCTTTGCCTTACCCATGGAAGGGAAACATCTGATTAGAAAATAAGCTGGATTAAAAGGATTTATCAAAATAGTATGTCTCCAAAGTATGGCTTTCTGACATTCTAGTTGACCATTGTAAAACTCTATGTAAAATTTCCATTTCTAAAAAAATCGTCACTGACTAAAACACAGAGAAAGACATTAATTTAAATCTGCATAACAATCCTCAATTTTAAACCTTTGCCTTCTCTGGACCTTTAATTATACCCCTCTTTCTATGGTATTTAGGTAAGTTTCTGCATCTTTAAGAAGTAAAATTTGTAATATAATGTTATTTAAAAATTTTTTTTTTGTCTTTTTGAGACACAGTCTTGCTATGCAATTCAGGCTGGACTTGAGCTCCCTTTGTAGCCCAGACTGGTCTCGAACTCACAATGATCCTCCTGCCTCAGCCTCCCGAATGGTAGGATTACAGGTGTGTGCCACTACATCTGGCTTAAAAATTTTTATATGATCAAAATTTAATGTATTAGGCCAGGTGTAATCCCGGCGCTTATTGGGCTAAGGCAGGAGGATCATAAGTTCTATATAAGCCTAGAGTACACAGCAAGTGTACAACCAATATGGGTTACATATTGAGACCTTGTCTCAAAAAATATTTTTAATGTACTAATATAAAGCCAGGATCTATTTCCCTATGTTTGAAGCAACAAGGTTTTCTTCAAATATTGATCTACTCTTAGTAACATTTACAAGGACCTGGCTTACCAAACAAGGATTTGTCCATTTCTCAAGATAATTTCTTATGCTTCCTATTGGTATTTTCCTAGTTAACAAAGCTAAACCTTAAGAGAATTAAAGTTTAGGGAGCCAAGCTGATAAATTAGAAATAGGCAGCTTTTTCTAGCTTTCCTGAAACTTGGTGAATAGCCACTCAGAGAGGTTGGTGAAGGAAGGAATGTATTTAAGTTCAATGATGGATAGACAGACATCTGGAAAGAACCACAGAATCAGGTTATTGGAACAGAGGACAAGAAAAAGCCCATGGCAGTAGTGGCAGTGATGTGGCAGAGGCAGCACGGCAGCACAGCCCAGCAGGGAGCAAAGACACAGAGAAGATATAAACACATAGTGGACAACACTGACATGGAAACTGGTCCAGGGCAGAAAGATAGGCTGAACTTACCTGATCTGGTGGCTACAGGATGTGCTAATGTTTGAGAAGTATTCAGCACTTTTCAATGTAGAAGCATGGAGGTAGGAGATTAGGGCTGGGGCAAACCAAACAACTGGGAAAAATCTTCCAAAATCCTGGTAACCTAGGGAACATGTACAGAACATAGGTCTCAGAATTACTCTGGAGTTCCTGAGCACTGTATGTGGTATCAATCACAGAAGTGCTATTTTCAATGTTTCATTTACATCGGGCATAAAACCAAGTGAGTCTTTGGTAGGACAGTTTAAATCTAGTGACAGGCCAAGTGAATTTTTGATAGGACAACTGTCCCAGTGCCTTATTGGCATGAGGAAGAAGCCAATCCAAAAATTCCAGGTACAAAAGACTTCTTTCCCTTATCCCTGTGGCCACTATAAACCTTTTCACTGGCTCACTCGCCCTCTGTAGAGTGCACTTCTTTTCCATTTTCAGTAAATGTATATCTCCACTACCTTTTCTGTATGTCTTGTCCAATTCTTTGCTCAGGACATCCAAAATCTGGAAATAATTTCCTGAGAACCCATTAATCAGTACTACATTTCTTGGCGAGCCAGCTTGGCAATAAGACCCCATTGGAGAAAGGGTTTTATTTGTTTGTTTGTTTGTTTTCATTTTCTCTCCTCTTTTCCTTTTTTGGCCACTCACTGTGGGCATGAATCGGACAGTTAAAAGTAGCTAGCACATCTGCCACTAGCCTGGCCATGGAACTGACCATTTTAGGTTTCACTAGGTACAAGAAAACTAGGTACCACATAGGTTCTTTGTGTGTACGACCTAAAGTTCGAAATGTCTCTTTTACTTCCCAATAATTTTTTGTTCTTCCCAATAATTTATTCAGCTTCTTTGTAGGTGGAATAGCTATCAGATATTTGGTCTCCTGCTTGAATAACCTATTCCAACCAGCACCTTTTTGTGCTCACCAAGGTCAAAGTCTCATTTGAATTTTATACTAGATGACCTTCTGTCTCCAGATGTCCTTAGTGATTCATTTGCTCTAGGGCTCCATGTGCTAAAACCTCAGGAAGTTACCCTAATTCACATTTCTGCCACATTCCCCAATTGTCCTCATGAACACCAGGAAATCTCATCATTATACATAAGAGATATGGTCTCCACTTTTGAGGAACACATGGGCCTTTTCCTCTCTAAATCTCAGTAGATCCCCTCTGTTTCTTCTAACAAAAATTTAGGCAATTTAGAAATTAGCTGAGGGCCCGGGCAGAAGAAAGAGAACAGATAATGAAGGTCAACCTATCTGGCTGTGAGTATGTGGAAGTAGAGCTGGAATATTTTAGTCAATAGGTAATAGACCTTTGTACTTGGAAATTTCCAGGGCTTTTTTCTTTTTGTTTTGTTTTCTGAGATGGGGTCTCGCTATGTAGTTCAGGCCTTGAACTCACTACATAGCCCAGGCTGGCCTCAAACTTGTAGTGATCCTCCTACTTCAACTCCACACCCCACTGGCCTGAGTGCTGGGATTACAGGCTCTTTTCTTAAAATGCTGAGGAATAGGCTTCTATCCCTACTGCTTTAAAAAATAATTACCAAAGTCTTTTATTATTGGGATAAATGGGGGCATTCAGATTCTCAAGTAGTTAGATGAATGCAGTAGGGGGCTCCGCTATGGTCTCTGAGGAGTTACAGTGGACTGCAGGGTATGGAGAGACCCAAGAGGAAAAAAGGGCACCTGTGCCGTTCACTTTACCAGATCCTGGGTAGTACAATTTGAGTTTCATGCGTGATGCCCCAAAGCTCAATGAATCTCAATCCTTCTGTATGGACACCCTCACAAGGACCCAGACCTCATCTTTTCTCTCCATAGGTCCCAGGAAGCACCATGGGAAACACCCCACTGATCCCACCGCTCTCATCATAAGGGTGTATCCTTAAAAATTGGAAACAATTTGACCCTGACTATCTGAGAAAAAAATAACTTATCCTGTGTTGCAATACCATTGGATCCAGTACGAATGGCAAAAGATAGGTATAGGACGGTAGTCTAAATTACAGTACTATTCTTCAGTTAGATCTTTTCAGTAAAAGGCAAAGAAGCTGCCATGAAATTCCTTATGTTCAGGTTTTTATGGTGCTTTATCATAGGCCCAAGACATACAGTACTTAAAAGCCTAAGAGACATGGTACTTAAGCCCACACAGAAGACATTAGTCTCATTGGTTATCCCATTCTCAGACCCCCACTGGTCTCTCAGGGGAATGTGGTCTCCCCAACCTGTTTAATGAAAGAAACCACACTGGAAGGTCTCCTCAACCTCCTCCTTCTAATCCTCAGGCCAGTAAATCAGTCTCATTCTCTCCAGGTAACTCAGAAACCCCATCAGAGGGTAGCTCCCCTGAGAGACCCAATACACCCCAGGACCTTCCTCATGCTCCCCAGACAGCTCTAAGCCCTGCAGGACATGCTAAGAATGGAGTCTCTTACTCTTCCAACTCAAAGCTCATCCTTTCCTTAAGAAAGTTCCCAGTAGTAGAGGGGACTACACAATCCAGGGCTTTTTTTCAGTAACAGGTATCCAGCAATTCAAAGGATGTTTGGACTTACTTTCAGACGATCCTAGTAGATTTACAGATGGGTTTCAAACTGGCCAAAATTTGCTTTTGGTCTGTCCTGGTGAGATGTCCAATTTGTCTTGGTCACTTGCTGTACCACAGATGCACAATATACTGCAAAAAGAGAAAGAAGTCACTCTAGAGAGGTTACTGTCCTGACAAAACCAAATGGGGACTATGATACTGGGGATGGACTAAGTATGAAATCTAAAAAGATATCTCCTCTTATTATGAGGGTAAGATAATACACTAAGAAATCTGTTAATTATTACATGTTGAGAGAGGTTACACAGGGCAAAGAGGAAAATCCAGCTGTCTTCCATAGTTGATTAGGAGAAGTTTTTCATAAATATACAAACTTAGATCCAACTTCCAAGGAAAGAGAGGCACTAATGAGACAGCATTTCATTAGTCAACCATCCCTAGATATTCAGTACAAATTACAAAAACTTCAGATGGGCCCCGACCTCTATGACCCAATTGCTGGACATAGCCTTTTTTGTGTTCAACAGTTGGATTCTAAATGGGGATGAAAAGGAGAGAAACTGAGAAAAAAGGCAGGCCAAAATTATGGCTGTTGCAATTAGCAATGCTCTAAGCACACCAGAGTCATCCAAGGGAAAAACCCAGGGCCAATGAAGAAAAGAATTCTTATTTTAAAATACAAGGAAACTGGTCACTAGGCATATGACTGCACTAGGCCACTGCCTACGCTCTGCCCCATGTGTGAACTGACTGATGCGCCTCGTTAATGGCACTGGAGGATAAACTGCCCCTGTTCTCAGGGAGGGCCTAGGTCAGCCAAAACCCTCACCTCCCACTCTGATGAAGAGGACTGATGGGGCCTGAACAAAGTGTTCCCCTGTCCACGGATATCAACATCTCCTGAGAGGAACCCTGGATAACCCTGAATGTCATGGGTAAGCAAATTCAGTGCCTTTTGGATATGGGTGTCTTACTCTGTTTTAATTTCCTTCCCTGGAAAACCTTCCTTTAGCTCTATAGCCATAATTGAGGTTAAGAGTAGCTCTACTCAGAGCTTCTTTACTCCTATTTTGAAATAAAATTCAAAGGTCAAATGTTCATACATCAGTTTTTAATTGTCCCATGGTCTCCTACTCCCCTAAAAGAAGAGATTTATTAATAAAATTGGGGGTAGTTCTCTGATTACAGTAAAGGCAAAAGAGGATTTTACCTGATAAGACTACACCAGGCCTCTCTGACCTAATTAGCCAACGGGTAGATCCCGCTGCATGGTAGAATGGAATACAGTACCTGAGAAAACAAATTCAGCGATGCGATGCTGGTAGTTGTAGAATTAAAAGATCCCACCCAACTTCCTAAATGAAAATAATACCCAGAGAGGAAGCCCATAAAGGCTTCCTGGCACGCATAGATAAGTTCTCAAACATGGCCTTCTGTGGCCTCGTCAATTTCCTTGCAATACTCCCATCTTCCTCTAATAAAATGTTCAGCAGTCTGTATGATGGTACAAGACTGCCATCTCATTAATGAGGCTATAATCCCAATCCAGCCTATAGCAGAGGGTCCATATACAATCTTCTCCCAAGTGCCAAGAGACATAAATTGATTCTCAGTCTTTGGCCTCAAAGGTGCTTTCTTTTCTGTTCCTCTGCATCCAGAGTCCCAGTTCCTGTTTACCTTTGAATGTGAAAATTCTATCCCAAAGGAAAAACAACAATATACTTGAATAACTATCACACAAGGCTTTAGAGATAACCCTCATCTTTCTGCTTTGGCACTGGAAAAGTACATAAGGAACCTAGAGTTTATATGGGAGACCATCCTAGATGTAGGTGATATTCTAATTTGCAGCCCAACATGGGAGATAACCAGCTATAATACCATCCAAACTCTCAATTTTCCAGCTAGAAATGGATACAAAGTCTCAAAGGGAAAGGCTAAAATATCCCTTCAGAGTTCCAATGCTTGGGATACATTCTTAAACTTCAGAAATGACAACTGTCCAGGGTCAGGATCCAGGCACTACTGAGACAGCATTTCATTAGTCAACCATCCCTAGATATTCAGTGCAAATTACAGAAACTTCACATGGGCCCCAGACCTCTATGAGTGTCTAGGGTCAGAATCTCAGGCCCTCTGCCACCAAACAATAACTGTTCCTTCCTGCGAATGCCTAGCTTCTGCCAAATCTGTACACCTAATTTTGGACTAATGGCAAAGCATCTATATGAGGCTGTCAAAGGTCCTGAGTCCAAGCCCTTAGAATGGCCAAATTGGCTCACAATGATTTTCAATAATCACTGAACCTCACTCAGGTTCCAGCGTTAGGAATACTTGACTTAAGAAAACTCTTCTTCCTCTGTGTATGAATCTCACTCAGGTTTCAGCATTAGGAATACCTGACTTCAGAAAACTCTTCTTCCTCTATGTATGAGAAAAAAGAAGAATTACTTTGGGTGTCCTGCAAAACTATCCTTCAAAACTGATGGAGAAATATTTTCATCATAAAGAGCAGCTAAAGAAATTCATGACCACTAACCCAACACTCCAAAATATACTCAAGGATACCCTAGAAAGAGACAATGAAGCTAACAATTATCTTTTTTTTTTTTTTTTTGCTAACAATTATCTAGTAGGTGAATACACCAAGTAGGGTGAATGGTTAAGTAGAAATGAAACATAGGGAATCAGTCAGAGGGAAATAAGGCAATGACAGGAATAAATTAATACTTATCAGTACTAATGCTCAACATGAGTGATATTGATTGACCAATAAAAAGATACAGACTGGCAAAATGGATCAAAAAATAAAATTCAATGGTTATGCTTGATACAAGAGACAAATGAGACAAACAAAAAAACTCAGACTAAAAGTCAAAGGATAGAAAGCAATATTCCATGTAAGAGAACCCAAAAACAAGAAGTTGTATCTATCCTATATATAAACAAAGTAGAATTCAAGCCAAAACTGATCAAAAAGGCAAAGAAGGTCACTACATACTGGTTAAGGAAACAATCCAACAGGAAGAGATATCAATTATTAACATATATGCACCAAAGAACAGCATGCCCAACTTTACTACAGGATATAACAGAGCAAATAAACATAAACGCAGTTATAGTGGGTCACCCCATTACACCACTATTACAAATATACCACTATACAAATATATCTAGTTGATATAGACAAAAAAATCAAACTAGACAAAAAAATCAACAAAGAAATATCAGAGTTGAACAAATAAATTTTTAACAAATAAATTTAATAGATATTTCCAAAGTGTTCCACCCAATAACAGAATACATATTCCTTTTGTTGTGTTTTTTGTTTCTTTGAGACAGGGTCTCAATACATACTGGACTTGAACTCACTTTGTAACCCAGGCTGGCCTTAAACTTGTGACAATCCTTCTGCCTCAGCCTCCCAAATGCTGGGAGTATAGGTATATGTCACTATTTTTTTTTTTCTTTTTGAGACAGGGTCTCGCTATGCAGTTCAGGCTGGCCTTGAGCTCACTTTGTAGCCCAGGCTGGCCTTGAACTCGCAACGATCCTCCTGCCTCAGCCTCCTGAGTGCTGGGATTACAGGCGTGCGCCACCAGGCCCGGCTAGGTATATGTCACTATGCCCAGCAGCATGAACCACATAATAGCCAATAAAGCAAGCTTAAATAAATGTAAAAGACTTGAAATTATGCCAGGCACGTTATTAGATTACAGCACAATGAAATTAGGAATCAACAACAAAAGAAAACATTAAAATTATGCAAATGTATGATATTATGGGTTGTGTCTGGATGTCCCCCAAAAGCCTCATACAGTCATGGGCGGGCTTCTAGAGTTTATGATTGATTCATGGTCTAATGCTGGGCTTATGGGTGTGAGAGCTACACCCGCCCTGAGGTGGGTAGTTTGTATACAATGTAAGGGAGGGAAAGAGGCTGCTTGCTGCTGCCCCTCCTCTTTTTGTTCTTGTTGTTTTTGCTGTCTTGTGCTGCCTTGAAGTGTTGCCTCTGTGCCCTGCCACACTGCCTCGGAGCCAGCTAATTATAGACTAAAACCTCCATAAACTGTAAGCTAAATAAACCTTTCTTTCCTTAATTTTAGGCATTGGGTATTTTGTCTCAGCAATGAGAGAAAAGTAACTAAGACACATGGAAACTAAACTACACACTTTAAATAAACAATGGATTATGGAAGAAATCAAGGAAGAAATAAGAGTTTCTAGAACTAAATGATAATGCCAGTACAACTGTCTTAGTTACTTTTCTCATTGCTGAGACTACGTACCTGACAGCCAAAAAAGGAAGGGTTTATTTTGGTACACAGTTTGTAGAGATTTCAGTCCATAGTTCATTGCCTCTAAGGCAGGGTGGCATGGCAGATGGGCATCACAGAGTAGGCAAGAGGCAGCATAAGACAAGCAGTAGCAGCAATAAGCAACTGGGAAGGACATTCCTTAGTTACTCTTTCAATGTATTGCCTCAGGCCTGACCAAGTCATGATTGTTGAGTTCTGGAGGAAGTACAGCAAAAGTATTGAAAGCCTCGGGAACAACTCTAGACTTTGCTGAGATATGCCCCAAGGAATGATAACATGATGGCTAACTAGTCAACTCTCATTCCTACGATAACTGAGTTGTACTGTCCTTGCTAAAACAGCTGATATCCTCCCATTCCTCTGCTGCCTCCTTTGTTCTTTCTCAACAAGAGGTTACTGAAAATGGTAATCAGGCTTTCGTCCTAGCAGCTGCTAGCCTCCTGATCCCAGAATTTTGCCTCTCTTGTTTTTCTTTTTTCTCTTAGTTTTCTATTCATCCGCGGGTACCTCGTTCTCGGGACCTGTTCACCCTGGACAGAAACGGAATCAACATCCAACAAGCGCCAAGCAACAAGCAACAAGTGCTGACATTAGCCCTCTTTCTGTCCCTTATATTTTATCCAGGCTACTCACCCAAGCACCCACACCCATAATCCTACCCAGAACCACTCGGCAGAATAATTTAATAATCACCTATCTTTGATCTCAGCATCACAAACTTAACCCTAACATCACACACTCTAGATCCAGCCACCTCTGAAAAGCCCCACCTGTGA